TTTTGGATGTGTTTAAAATAACTTCTTCAGTGTGTTTATCGTGGAGTTTTCCCTAATTTTTTCATTCCACAGAATAACATGTTCATAAACAAAGTTGTTGATGCTGCACGTGAATCTCTTTTACAACAGCTTTATCAGTATTACAGAATGGGCGTGTCCTGTTTACTGCTGAGTCCGACTCTCAGATCAATCCTAGAACCAGCCCTCAGTAGTCCGTCCTTTGTGTTATCCCCTACTGAGGGAGAATTCATAAGAATTGCAGATTTAGATATATGCGGCATGGGTGAATTATCTAAATTAAGCTTTTTTTGCAAAACGCATGCTGGACTCTTATCTTTACTTAAAATCAATTAACATACTGTATCGGTTATCAATCACACCACATCAGTTAATAGTATTACAGTACTGTACTGCTAAGGCTCTTGTTCGTTTAGCCTTCATGATGACAAAGAGTACCTCATATTGCACACATAAAAATATCTATAAGTTAGATACGGTAGTTTGTGGCATGTTAAAAATGGCAGCAAGATTAGGTCCTGTGTCTCATTTATTATATTTATCATTGTATTATTATAGAACAGGGAGATATGATAAAACATTACATATCACTTATATCACTAAACAAAGACTGACAGAGGACTTTATTATGAATAAATTTTGTACTGTTAATAGGCAAAGGTACAATGAAGCTGTAGGTAATCTGTCTTTGTCTAGGAGAATGAAGAAAGCTTGGGTAGACCATTTGTATTTTTATGAAAATATCCCTTACATTGAAGAATTAAGTTTAGAATAGAATTTGAGTCAAAAACATGGAAAGCCAGTCCTATATTTATCACCGTTTGTTATGGTTGAGATGTTGTCTGTGTAATCTCACTATAGACTGGGTAATAGATCTCAGTGTTTACAGTCACTGACAAACCTACAGACCTTGTTGCTCTATGATGACGGGAGGTACGTTCCTTTATTCACCAGAGACCTATCCTGGCAGATACTAGGAATCTGTCAACATGTTGTGGGAGACTTACACGGGGCTTTACGGTCTTATGAAGAGTCACTGAGGCAGAAACCAAACCACAGAATAAAAGAAGCTACAAATTTTAGAATAAAATATGTTAAACAACAATTACAGAGAAATGAACACATGTTAAAATAGGTTTCTTAATATATTTCTGTCGTAATTTAAAGAGTTGTAGACCTGAAAGTGGCATTTGTTTGATAGAATTGTAAAAGACACAGATGAAACATTATACATATATCACATGGCTTCGAGGGTGACATACCAGAATATTTGCCCCGAGGTGACAGGAAAGCCCTGGAGTGTTTTGTCACCCGATGCCGAAGGCTTTGGGGTACCCATCTCTTATCCTCAACTCCTCTCATACCACTGAATGAAATTTGATGAAACTTTCACAGAATTTTTATTACATATTGCCACTGTGCACCTCCTTTTTTACTTTTTGATCCGACACATATGTTGGGTTTCCCAGAGCAAAACATGGACACTGCCATTTTATACATATGGGAGACGGGGGTATCATTTATTGAGCTCATTGCTCACAGTACCTCTAGTTTCATATGCTTATCATAACTAGTATAGTTTGACCGGTCTGTATGAAAGAGTTCTTAATTAAGCATTAGTCTCTTCCATCAGTGGACCATGACGTAAAGATCAATATATTATTGCAATATTTTTCATATATAAATGTACTTTGTATGGTTAACTAAAACATAAATTGTTTAAGTTTTATCAAAGTTATGTGTCAAATTGTACTTGGGCCCCCTTTATTATATCCCCCGCTTGAAAATGGGAGGGTATATAGTAATCGGGATTTCCGTCCGTCTGTTACGCTTTATCTCTTATCCACAACTCCTCTTATACTACTGAGTGAAATTTAATGAAACTTTCACAGAATCTTTATTACATATTGCCATTGTGCACCTCCTATTTTACTTTTTTATTCGACACGTATTTTAGGTTTCCCGTAGCAAAACATGGACATTGCCATTATATGTTTACCTATGACGTCACATATAGAAGCTTCTGGATACCACTTGATAGGACGAATTATTCCTCTTTACACATTACCGTAAAACAACATATAGCAACACATGGACATTATGGGAGGCGGGGGTTATCATTTAGTGAGCTCATTGCAATTGTAGCGATCTATGTGAGCGGATCAAAGGATCTGATTTTAATCAGATTGGTTTTTTTTTTTAAATTTATAAACAGAAAATTTGAGAAAATATTTTATTTGTGTCAAATCACCTTTAATTTAACATCCATGAGGTTTACAACGTTCTTAAAAGTTCTTAAAAGTTTTGTTCGCGAATTTTTTTATGTGCCCGGATCGATAGATTGGAGGCGTATTTTGTTTTTGTCCTGTCTGTCTGTATGTTTGTCTGTTGTCAACTTTAACCTTCGCCATAACATTTCAACCATGACAGATAGAGACTTCATACTAGTATTTGGTGTGCATATTTAACTAATTAGGCTCTTTCAAATGATACCAAAGTTGGTGACCTTGTGACATTGACTGTGACATGACCTATATGCTAAAAATAGCTTAGATCTTGTTTTAAAATTTCGTTAGAATTTTTCAGTGAACAATAATATGAAAATCAATAGAAGCATGTGGATTTTAATAAAAATTTCAAATCGAGTGTTCGAGGGAAAAGTTGTTGCAATTAATAGTATAAGTACATCACTGTTAACCTACCTGTAGCTCTGTTGCTACATTTATGTAATATGCTGTCTTTGGGCAGAGTCAAAGTCCTCATTCCTTTGAATCAATCAGATTCTTATGTCAGGAATCTAGCTGCTCAGAATTGATTAGTTGGAATAAATCAAATCGTGGTCTTGGTTGATTATTCTGAAGATCCTGAACATGTATATACAAGTGTGCTGGGCAAAAATAAAAAATACCTTCGTTTCCCCTAACGCGACCGACCCAATTAAATCGCGCCGACTGAAAAGATTTTTTAAATAAGATGATTCAAATATTTATTTTTTTTATTGTTAACCAAGTTTTATAAAATAAAATTTCATCAAACTCAGTTTTTATCAGAACGACCGACATTGTTCTACTGTGATTTTCACGCATTTGTTGGAAACAAAATGACGTCCAGATGTGATTACAGGGCATTAGCTCTTCATAAAGCAATGGCGACGTCTCATTCTTATGCTTTCAGATAATTGGAATTCTTCACTCTTGAAACAATTCGAAAATAAAATTTACCATCATGAATAATTAAGAGTGTTTCGGAGGTGTCTTGGCGTCTACATGTGAATGAATAAATTTTCGAAAGAGGCATTAAACAACAAACAAACAAACCTGTCTTTGAATTTAAGGTATGTAATACATGGTAAGGCCCGCCTCATGAGTAGATAAGGGACCCACCTAGTAAACACATCATTCAATTTCACTGCATTTTATTTAATTTGAGTTTTGATCTATTATATAACCAGTTCCTACTGTATGTTTACTTTATGCTATTAAGGAACCATAGGAGTTGTTGTAAATATGTCTGCATAGGCATCCTCAGGCTGATGAATACAACTGAGATTTCCTTTCTTCATGCCTTTATTTAGTGGTTAAACTTCGTGACTATGACATTAAATTGTTTATAGCATTTTTGTCATCTGCAGATTCGGATTGGTTCAATTAAATATTGTTCCAAATAGTTTTTGAAATCATGATTCAGCTTCCTGAGACGTATAGTGTATTTTTCTTTAATTAGGCCCTTGGAGATTGGTTGTTTCTTTGCTTTTAATCCCTTCGAGATTTGTAAGGACGACATTTAAACATTTCCCCATTGCTCCAAATTTAGACGCACTTAGCACTTTTTTGCCATTAAGCAGTGGGGGATCTTTTTTGAGCCAGCATCTTCTGCGACACTGGACACAAGTTTTATGGTCTCCTTTGAAGGACCGTTTTCAACGTTACTCATTTAGGATTTGAACCTGCCCTTTATAAAATTAGCCACTTCTAACTCCAAAGCAAAATGCTCCAAAATCACTGCAAATCTCATGGCCCTCAAAACAGTATATTGATCGTCTATAAGCTCTGAAGGCTGATGGAAGGTTTGAAAAAATATACTCGTATGTCTGGTCTTTGCGTATTTGAGAATATTGTTTATTTTATTCAATTTATATAAATGTAATGGCGTGAGATATTTCACAAGTTCAACTATATAACAGTTGTGAATTAATTAATCATGAATTTTGCTTTTAAACGGCATATGTATGATACTTAGCATTTTGTTCACAAATCGCTTTCTTTTGTACTTTTTTTATTTATAAAGGTAATTTTCCATTAAATTTTAGAATGTATATTCAAAGATGCTGTCTGAAAATAAAATTGTTTACCTACCTACCGACCATTCTTGAGCACTTAGGGTCGGGATAGGGGAAACAAATATATTTTTAATTCCGGCCCTGGTTGTTGGTTTTTCAGCTGAATATTGTGGACAAGAAGCTACAGCTTGTTTATTTGACGGATGTGAAAAGTTCATTTAAGGCTTATTTTTCAAAAAATATTGTCCTACTCAGATACAATTTTGAAAGATATACGAGTTAATTTAATTTAATCAATATTCATATTATGTAAAGTTGGTTTACAATTGGAATGGACATCATATAAATCCTACCATCAAGGAGAGGGTGTACATAGGCCTTACCTGTTGCCCAATCCTCATTGAATTATTCAATAAAATATGTTTAAACTGTCTATAAATCCTCTCTAAAATATAAGATACATGTATATGCTTACCATTTAAAAAGTTTCAGAGTAATTAACAACTTATATTTTTTTTATAATTAGCAAATTCGAACCTGGAATTTGTGTTAAAAAATTTAGCGCTTAATAATTGATTTTTAATGTTAATCTATAGACTGCCTCAGTATGGTAACATCCTTTTCTGGTGGATTTTAAAGTGTAAAATATGGTATGTAGACTATAGATAAATGGCGTGTAATCTTTCTCACAATGCAATGTCTACCCTTCAGTGCGCCCACGGGATTAAATCTCTTTTGTATTTGTTTACATTCGCTACGGTTTTAGAGTGAGATAACGTAAAATATCTCACCTATCTAGGTGTTTTGGATTGAGGAGGTATCTTTATCTGACCACCGGTTTACGGTCAGTTCAGCAGCACCGGGTCGGGGTCTCCGGAGGGTGGATAGGTAGCCGGGATATCTCCTCCCCTTGGTTTGTTATCAGTAATTCAAGTAAGTATAAACTTTTATCTTTACACAATGCATTTTAATTCATATTGTCCAGTGTAATATACATGTAGTTCAACGAATAGCAAATGATAAAGTATACAGTTCTGAGGGCGTGTGTTATGAAAATTACTGATTAATCAAATTGGTGTAGTATACTTATCTTAAATCGTACAGTCCTATAAATGAACAATTAAATTAAATTAAATAAGTGTTATTCTTTTGAAACTCTGAAGTTCGATAACGGTTTTTAAAGGTATGGACGCTGGAAATCAATGTTTATCAAAAGTGAGGGGGACAAAGAGGTGTTTTTTGCATATGATTCTCTATATACATGTACATAGGCTTCTCTATTGACGGGGGTGGGGGGCACGGGGAGGGGGCACTCCCATTTTTCCTGCAAAGATAGACATAATTTAGGCATTGATAATTGGGGCTTACCTTTTTTGTTGGTTTAGCCCCCCACCCCCATTCAATTTGCCTCCAACGCTTATGAAATGTGATTAGAATATCTTTTTGAAATGTAGAATTTGGGGATTTGTACGATATCTAAAGGGAAAGTAGAATGTTCAACGTAAAATCGCACATGTAATTCACAGACAATTCAGTTTTATGTAGAAAATATTCAACGTTTTGAAATTGTTAACATGAAGGATCTTAATTATGTTTCGTTTCAGTTTTTCTGTTTTGTTAGGTTTTAAAAATTAAAGCATTGGAATGTTAAAGATTTGTTTGCAGTCGGGTTTGCTCAGTAAAAATCAATTATCTTGAAACAAAAGTGCACTCAACCTTGAACTGTGGTAATGCAAAAGTGTGGAATTTAAGTACTCTGAAATTATTGCACTCGCGCATACTTTGTGCTTTTTTCTTTTAAATTCTTGGATGAGAGCTTAGCTATTGACTATAAAACATTTCAGAAAATCGCATAAAATTTCTTGCTTACAAAATTACCTGATAAGTGTAACTAGATAAACGTAGATATAAGATAGATAACGTTAGTAATAATGATTAATTACAAATAATAAAATGTCCTGCAGAAATGGAAAAATGTAATGGACAGTCAATGATGACACAAATCACTTAGCTGAACAAGGAAGCGAGAGGAGAAATATCGATCAAACTAAATATCATCCCTCTGTGCCAGTTAAATCTCGGGGTTTTCGTCTCTGTACAATGAATTAGTTTGCAATATTCGATTCGAGCCCAGGAAATGTTATAGATCTTCTGCAAGTAAAATTTGATAAAACACCGTAGTATATGAGCATCAACTTACACTTTATGTATTCTATGCAAGGTGTCCATGAATTAGACCAAACCCAATAATCTTACCTTACGAAATGTGATTCTTCCGCTTCAAATATCATATTAAATGCCTAAATGAAAAAATAATTATATTTACAATTTGCTAAGTTTAACCTTTCTCTCTGTAAACTGAGCCTGGAGATTATTGATTCTCTTCCTTCTCTCATTAAATTTGCGTCTTGAGGAATCTTAAGTCATCCTTAATCTTTACGGAGAGATTTAGTAGCTCAAGTCATCTATTATGTATCATAAGGATAACGTTGTCACAGTTCTGCGTTGACTCGTTTCTTTTTTAAATCCAGCTTCGCCATGTTTGGGTGTGTCCTTCTAATCCTGGCTATACTTGTGCTCGTCGTCTGCTTTTGGCAACGCATTCGGAGACTTCCGCTTCCGTACTACGAGGGACGTCACGTGGTTATAACCGGATGTGACACCGGATTTGGAAATATGCTTGCAAAAGAGTTGGATTCGAAAGGATTTTCTGTGTTTGCAGGGTGCTTAACTAATAATGGAGAGGAGAATTTAAAGAAATCGTGTTCACAAAAACTAAAAACTTTTCCTTTAGATGTTTCTGATAATGAGAGCATTAAGAAGATGCTGAAATTCGTTACGTCACATTTACCTAAAGATGCAGGTTTGTATTTAGCACCTGTTTTGTTTTGTTTTTTTCTTGTGAAAACATATTTGTTTATATTAACTGTGTCTAGTGCTATGTTAAATGATTCAATCCTATCACAGTCAACAAAGCACGCCCGTGATTTGATATGACCTTATACACCTTTTCAAATCAGAAGAGTCTATCATAGCATCTGAGGTTTGGATGCTGGCACCACTATTTCTAACCCAAGTCTTCTGAGAATGTTTCAAGCACTGCAATATATCAAAAATGTATTCCCATCATAATAGTACCTTAATTTAAATAATTTTAAAATTTCATGAAGTCTCTCAGTCAGTCGGTCCTTCAGTGTTTATAATAACTATATAATTTATAATAACAAATGTAACCGTTTCATTCGGTCAGCACATAAATACATCGATCAACCTTATGAAATGGCTATATTTGTATAATAATACTTAACTTTATTTAATTTCAAACTATCCCTTCCCAAAACAATTTTTGATTCTAGGAATGCAATTTTTTTTAATAAGATTTTTATGAAAAACTCTCCGATGCCTGTCAAGGTGGAATATGGGGGTGTACATTCACCATATGTGTCAGACGCCATCGATTCATCACAGTCTTGTAACTACAATATATTGCTATAACTGATTTACATACCGTACATTTGTAGGTATATGGTGCCTCGTTAACAATGCTGGGATCGCAGGCAGTGTTGGCCCCACCGACTGGCTTACAAGAAGTGATTATGAAAAAGTCATGGCCGTAAATCTTTATGGAATGGTGGAAATGACCAATGCATTTTTGCCTTTAATAAGAAAAGAAAAAGGGCGCATCGTCAATATGACCAGTATTTGTGGCAGAATAACTCTAGCGCCGACGCCATATTGCGCATCAAAATTTGCAGCAGAAGCCTACTCCGACTGCTTAAGGTACGTACATGTTATTATTTTATTTAACAATGCAGATAATTATTTTCATTATATATTGAACATTTGTTTGTAAAGTTAAGAATATAAAAAAAACGTGCAGCTCATTCAAATGATATGAAGAACTCGCATACCTTGCGATTGTGAATTTGGCTTCAAGTAAATGCTAAATAAATTTAAATTTAAAAAAAAAATGAAGTTGCATGCATGAATGTAAATTTTTCATTCCTTTTGTGATATATAGGAGAGACCTTTATAGAGAAGGGGTCACTGTTCACATCATCGAACCAGGTTATTTTGCCACCAATATCACAAGTCCTAAAACAGTGACATCAGCATTTCGGTCAGCTTATGAAAAATGTAACCCGGAAGTAAAAGAGTATTATGGGGAATCATACGTGGAGCAAGGTAATAGACGGAAATCTGTTTTCAGTAGACTTATTTCTAACATGATAACCATTTTTATGCCCCCGTAATCATAAATTTGAGTGCATAGTTTTCACCCTGTCTGTCCGTCTCGCTGTTTGCATATGTTTACGAAAACTTTCACAATGCCCCTAGCTTTTGACTGGTTGGAGCTAAGGTTTACACATCAGTTTTAAATGTACAGTCACTCCTTGTGACCTAAACCTTTCTTAAAGTCCGTGTCACACTGTCACGATTTTTGGCTACGACAGAGTTCGAGTTAAAAAATCGCAGTAATTCGGCGTTTATCGTAGAGATAGTCGTAGGATATCTTCTTAATTCGTGCTTCATCGCAGCAAATCGCCAAACACGGCGATTGTTTTGAGCATGTTCAAAACAATCGTGGCCACAGTACGATGTTTAATTATCCGTAAGCGATCGTACAGTAATCGCAATACACTCGTACACATAATCGTTGTAAATCTTCGACATTCGTAGGGCACTCGCAAAAATTCGTAGAACTTCCGACTCTGCGAGTTTCATACGATTTATCGCGAGTGTCCCACGAGTTTCTGCGAGTGTTTCTCGACTAAAAAGGAATGTCGCACGATTTCATGCGAATATGATACGAAAACAGGCGATTGACGGCGAGTGTATTACAAGTACTACGCGAGTGAACTGCGAAATGGTACGATTGTACGCGTTTTGGAGATTTGGAAATCTCATTTGCATCAAATCATGAAGATAGCAACATGCTAATACAATAGATGAAATAGTTTCTGGTTCTTGGCGCATTGGAGCTAAGAGGCATTGCCATCTGTTGGCTAGTTCCAAATGCATTTTCTTCAACGCGCATTTCTCTGCTGAGTCTATAGTTGAATATAAGCGACTCATTGGTCAAAGTCCTTCTTGCAAAAGGCTTCATAAGCCATGTCCTGAAAGGGTAGGCGTCATCACCCACGATGAAATACGGGATGTTTCTGTTATCATTTGGTAGAAGGCAGCTTCTTGAAATCCAATATTTTGATTTTCGATGTCACCTTTTAATTCTACGTTGTTAAACACAGTGGCATCTGATGCAGAACCATTTGCACCTACGTCAACCCAAATGAATTTATAATCAGCATTAACAAGGTCCATAAGAATGAGGGAGTGAAACCTTTTGTAGTTGTAATAAAGTGAACCCTCGTTTCGGGGGCATTTTATAGCAATATGCTTCCCATCCAAAGGACCAAGGACATGGTCCAGGTTCCATCTAATTCTGAACTGCTCAGCTAGCTGTTGCCACTCATCTGTAGTTGTTGGACATGCAACTCGAAATCCGTACATCATATCAGACTGGTGTATGACGCTCCTGTTGCTAAATACCGAAGTGTAATGGCCAACTTTAATCCAGGTTCCAAAGTCTTTCTGAACCACGTGTCTTGTTTTTGTTATCTTGGACTCAATCTGTCTACAAGCTCTCTAAACATATCTGGCTCTACCCTGAAGAAGTTTTTGAATGACAATACATCCTCCGTTTCAAGTTCTTTCATCAAGCAATCACAATAGCCATACTAAGTACGTCCGGGGATCCATGGTCTTATCCAGTATCTTCTTTGCCTCTGTGAACGCCCGTTGCGTAATAAATTGGCAATTGCCTTCAGTTGTCGTTTTTGCAATATTCTGTTCAAGTACCCCCAAATATTGCAGCAGTTAGAGCCTCCGCACGGTAGCTACTGCCATAATTACAACTTCGAAATTATGTTTAAGAATTTCAAGCAACCCTCTCTCTATATATCTACTCAAACCAAGTATATTCGTAAGAACTCGTCACTGTTCGTGGGAATATTGTGTATGCATCGTACAGACTTGTAAGTATTCGTAAGAGCATCGTTTAAAATCGTGCAAATTCGTATAAAGATCGTATTGCGTTCGTTATTTGATCGTCTTTGTTCGTACATTACTCGCCAAAACTCGTTCTGTTATCATATAAGCCTCGTACATTGTTGAGCGGACATCGTAGTCGTATCGTGACACACTGAAAAAAAATCACTCTCTGTCAGAAAAATGCTAGACTAGCGTGGCGATTGTCGGCGATTTATGGTTTTTTGTAAGTCGTGTGGAATCGTAGCAAAAATCGTGACAGTGTGACACGGCCTTAAGCTATCAACACGACTTATTGACTTTGACCAAAAATTAAGTTCAACGCATTTTTGCAAATACATGTAATTACTTCAAACTTTACCTTGGCAATAACTTTTGAACAGCTGGTACATGTGTTACGGTGTAAAATACGACTTTTCGGACTTATTATGAATTACTGTGTAAATTAACTTTTCAGGCTTTGTGCAATTTGTTTTAAAAACTTTTCTTATATTTCGATAAATTCTGTAAATTCCACACATCCTCAATACTAGTATCACTTAAGGCACAGTCAGAGAATCAGATGGACAGTTATAATCTCCTAATATTGACTTCTATTTATATTTCTTGACACGCGATCTTTCATCTTTAATTCTATCGTATATATATATATATCGCTAAAATGTCACCATCAATAGTTTGATACTTGATTTCTTTATACTTTTTGTTAATTCTTTTGTTTTACTTTGTCTTTGACCAATTTTAACCTTGACCTTAGCGTTTGACCCCCCCCCCCTTTTTTGAAAAAAAAAAAAAAAAAAAAAAAAAACATTAACATTGGCTATAAGTGTTGAAAAGTTATTTCTCCTGCAATCATATCTCGCAAGTGTATTCTATTTTAGCAGTCATTTCTTTGGATACAAAAAATATCAACATTCTTTGACCTTTGACCTATTTTTGTAAACTCAAAACATTGCCATATCTTTTGTACAGTTTGCCTAGGTCTATAATATTTCACAAGCATGTTTCTTATGAGAAGACCTTCCCCTGGGTTTTACTTATTTTGACTTTATGATCTATATCTATCTTGGGTAGCCTTTCATCTCTCTAACTATTAATGTACTATAATGCCGAAAATTTACAAAATTATTTCGCCTAAAAGGAATATAATAAAACTAATAATATCTTTCATATTAAGCTCCTTCTGCGATGGGTTTGTAGCATAGATTTTTTTGTAAGGCATATTTTTACCTCAAGTGTCACTGTTGACTTTCGGCTGATGCTGTTATGCCCAAGAGAATACGTACGTTGCATGCATGCACGGATTTAATTTAGTCAAATGAAAGATGGTGAATTTAACATAATTATACGAACAGTAATACATCTTAAAATATATCAATATTAAGAATCTGTGAATAGAACATACAACACGGACTTCTGTTAATTTCAGAGAGGGGATCAGATGCCAGAGAGAAGGGAATATCCAGTGTTGACTTGTCACTCTTGCCGTGTATCATATTCGATCAGTTTTCCCTTTACTAACAATACTTTGGTCTACTTAGATCATACATCATAAGTTACTTTTGATATTTTTGATGTAATAATTATGTTATTAATAGTCATACCGGTATGTTTTGATTACCCTCATTGTAAATAAAATTTCAATAAATGGTTCCAACAATGAATTAAAGTTATATGTTGTAAATTTTAAATTTACAAGATGGTGATAAATGCAAAATTTACAGCATGAACGGGGGTAAATGCAAATAATAGTAAGCTCAAGTGTTAAGGTTTAGAAATATTGAATATATTGTTTCTATTTATAGCATTTGAAAAGGCTCAGAAATTCCTCAAACTCGTCACGAACGATAACCCTGGGCTAGTGGTTGATGCCTACCTGAATGCAGTGTGTTCGAGGTACCCCGCCCACCGATACGTGGTGGGGTTTAGCGCCCAAGTCGTCTTCAGAATCCTGTGGACATTACCAGAAAGTATTTCAGATTTCATTTTGTGTTCAGGGCGACCAGTTCCCATGAAAATGGGAAAGCTGTAATTTATGTAACGTTGTTATTTTTCGGGTATGCAGCTGAAATGTTAACTGTGATATATATTTAAAAGAAATTTTATTTTTAATTAATTTATCTATGTATGGTAGTATAAAAGTGTTTGAAAAGGCTAATATAGGGTAATATACGATTGTTGTACATGTACATTGTTAATATTTTTCATAAAGTACACTAGCTGGAATATTCATGCTAGAAAATTCTGTAATTCAAACTATATATTATTTTTCCCTTTCTTATTTGTCTAACCATGTGTGTATTTTCTTTGGTTCAATTGCACATCTTTCCAAAAATGTCTATTAATCAGTTATTCCTGATGTTACCATGAATATTTGCAAACTTTATTAATACAATGTACTTGTTCATATATCTAGATGCTTGAAACTTACTTCTCCAAATTGTTCGTAGTCGTATTTATATTTTTGTATTCAACTAATTACGGAGAATTATGGATCAAATAGTTTTGTTAAACGAGAAAGAGACATTTTAGTTATATTTCATAATTTAAAGTCTGGTCGTTTGCAAGTAATTTTTGCTGTTAATTGTACATGTTGTATAATATTATACTCTCAGCCTGTCTAGGATCAAAGATATTTTTTTTTAATAATAATGGTAAAATAGATATGAAATCTTGTGATTTTTTTTTCACCACACAAGGCACGAAAGTATCAGTTTATAACTGCTAATTAATCTTAATTATATGACAATGAAGTATGAAAGAGGAGGGCATGTACATGGTCTACGTATTTATACAAGCATGCCGGGTGGGTGTAATAGGGTAAGGTTTATATACCGGTATTTATAAATTAGGGCCAATTTAAAAGCTTTGTCATACCCCGTCCTTCACACGCAGGATTCCTAATTCTAACTTGCCCCTTGTGAAGGAACTTAGGCAGGATTTCCACTGAGGGTATGGAAGCGGGCAGTCAAATAAAGGTCCCGTAGCCGGTCCTCGTTAGATACCGTTTTCCAAACTCCAGTTCCATAGTTTCCTTTTTTTTCGTGGTGACACAAGGCATGCTAAGTGCCTCTTGAATTAAAAAAAAAATAAATTAAGGAACTAAAGTCTTGGAAGATGGTAAGGGTCCTGTTTCTCCCAAAATACAAATATGGACGTGTATTGTACTAGTGACATAAACATGACGCTAAAGAAGTGTCCCGTTTTGACTATAAATAGCTAGTATCAGAAGTTTTAAATTGTGACTAAGCTAAACATGTTATAGAGTGTCGTTTTTAAGATAAAAACTTTTAAGGATAATATGCAACCATACCATATCAAGTGTTTTATTTTCCAGCTAAATGTTTTCCTTTAATATATATAGCAAAAAAGCCTATATAGAAACAGCCTCTATTTTCAAGTAGAATTAAAACAGGGAGAGAGATAAACAATCATATAATTATGGTAATGTTGGAAAATGATCTCAAAATAGCCTATATCGCGAAGTTTATCGAAAGTATTTTGCGTAAAAAAGGTTCAAGATGATTGAAAAATAAACGAGGCAATTTGTTGTTTTATTTAGATGAGATAACCTCAGAACCTCATTATTTTTTAAACAACTTTGGGACGTAACACAATGTTGTCTGGTCCAATACACATTTTTCCACATTCATAGACATGCGTCACTTATCAGTAATACCCGAATTAACCGCGGCTTATCTTTAAATACAGGTCAACTTTTCTCTTTACAATACAGTTAATCTTACTGCCTCGTACAGATTAGCTAATCAACCTTGATTAGAAAATACAAGTCGAGGCTTTCTATCGCAAAAGGTCGACATTCTCAGGTGTGTATTGCTGAATTGTAGAATGTTGACAATATAGGAATGGAAACATATAGGTTACATTTTTTGAGACTGATTAGGAATATGTAGAAGAATTGTGAAAAATTTAATTAATCAAACTAATTATTTTGGCTTTTCTGTTCAAAATGCCATCAAAAGAACCTCCGTGGCTTAGTGAATACCAACGGGTCAACGACAAGCAACAACAATATCTACGCAAAATTCACGACCTGAGGAGAAGCCTACAGAATCGAGAGGAACAACTGATGATGATCGCTATAGAGAGGCAGAGATTACTCCGGGGCAGACGTAAAAACCCGAAGAATCCGAAATTAACAAGCGTTACGGACACCCATATTCAAAATGGACCGCAACCTTTTCCTCATAGACAGAACGAAAAGCGATTCTATCTTTCTCCAACTTTTGTTCCTAGAAAATTAGCTCCAATCATAAAAGGGAAACAAATGTTGGATACTCGGTCTGAAACGTCTGAGGTTGACCACGATAAGGAATCCATTGATATTATTGCCAAACGAAACAACATCAGTTTCATTGGTCAATTTCCATCACCAGCCGGGAGTCCATCACCGAGGCTTTTACCAAAAGAGAGACAACTTCTGAACATGTCACGTGTTTCTTTCAAGGAAGTAGATAAAAATAGACCAATGGCCGCCTCTGTAATGACCGTTCGACCTGTGATGGAATATATTAAGGACATTAGCACCAGAAAGGCGGTGTATTCCTCAGGAAAGTAAAGTTTTTATACCTTTATCCTCCTATCATTAGGTAGACTGGAGATGTTCTTTGGTGGGAGTATATTTTTGCAAGTGTGTTCGAACACGATTAAGAGAAAATGAAACACTGACAGTGCTAATTCAATATCATGTGCGGAAGACAAAAACGGATAAAATAAACCGTTGTTCTTGTAATGAATTCTTGCATCATTCAGCAAAAGAAAAATTGTATAACCAAAATGAATATAAATCTGTCTTCTGTGTTTGAAAATTATTTTACAATTTGTTTAACAATGGGTGGAGGGAAACTCTTGCAAAAGATCGTTAACGTTATTGTTATAAGGTAGCTGCGAAATAAAGTAGCAAGTGTGTTGAACCAAACGTTCTATTTTTTACCTTTGTACAAATGTAATCAAAAAGATAGATTATGGAAAATAGGATATGCCAATAAGTAATTTAAATCCTGAAATAAAAAAAAATCCCCAGCAAAACTAGTGACACGTCCTCTCGGTACCCCAACTGTTGTGTTTGGATGTAAACATTGTACATGTAGTTATTTTGAAGATGAATAATCAAAGTTGTAGATCCTTAATCCTATACATTCACTATGGACAAATAATTCAGCAACTGGACTTTCGTTTACTAAGATACCTGTTTTAATTCGAACTCCTGAGTGTATATATGTAGAAGGGAATTCATAGACATATTTTAAAAATATAAAAATACATGTATAGTTGTATACTGTTTTGTAATTTTAAAAAAGTAAAAATACACGTGGTATAGGTGTCTATTCCCTTTTTATAAGCACAAAACGGTAGAGCTGCGGTATCTTCAGAGACAATGTCCAACAAGGATATGTCATACTAGTCTCATGGAGAAATGCGGATCTGCAGACCTTTTCAAATTGCAGAGGATACACTATCATGATTATTGTTTCAATAATTTCCAGATAAAATAAGTTTCTGAACACGTTTTTATTATATTTCCCTGTGAAATGCTTTATGATAATCGTGATGACTTGAACTTTTCAATTGAGAACTTCTCTCATTTATGAAGTAATATACCCTTATCACCTGCATATACGGGGTTTATCTCTCATGCAGTTTCAAGCGCATACTCTGCGTATGAACAATTTCTGAAGCAAGGTAGGTTATTGACAAACAAGTTAATGAAACAAGAATATCAGCAGTCTCATTTAAAACCATTGCATAAGTTCTATGGTCGATATTATGACCTTGTCAGCAAATACAATCTATCGTTATGTCAAATGCTGACTGACGTTTTTCAAACGAATTGTAACTTAGACCATAATTTATTATTTACTTTCTGTATTGTCGACAGATTTTCCCGTTATTTCTCGATCGTGACAAGGATCACATGGCGGGTGTGACCGGTCGGCAAGGGATGCTCACTCCTCCACGGCACCTGATCCCACCTCACCTCTGATGTTTTAGAGGTCCGTGTTTGCTCTGTTCCTGATGGACTTTTGAGCTTGAATACAATTCGTTATCTCCATATATTTCATGCTATAAATCATGAGATATACGGAAATTTTGAGAAAATATTAACTTCAAATCTGTGTCCTCTTTAACCACGAAAGCAAATGTTTTCCCACAATCATAATAATACATTTATGAAACACATAAAATATTTGTCTTGATTTCATGAAAAAATTTGACCTACGTAGTCTTACTCATATAAATTTTAAAGTTTTATCTCAATCCCTTCGCACTTTCAGCATAAAATCTTCATCAAAGGATTTTAAGATCCTTGTGACTTATGAGGGTTGTCTTTCTTTTAGTTTGCAGTATAAGGAAATATCTCTTCATTTTCCTCTACTGTACATTTCTTGTTATTACTAATAAATAAGCATCAGATATCGATGTTCTACCGTTTAATAACCAGTCAAAATATTCACAAAATTTTAAATTTCTTGCTATTGACTTTCCAAGGTTTTTAGCCATATTCGATTTTCTGATTGCTGTTTTCATTTTTCAGCGATCATCAAGGAGCTATGTTACAACGCACTTTGAAAAAAATTTTCAAAGTGCGTTAAATTTGGGACCAAATCAACGCACTTTGAAAAAATAAATTTTCTTTTCAAAGTGCGTTAATATCGACCATTTTAACGCACTTTAAAAAAATGTGTATGGTCGATATTCTTGCAAATCCTAGGTATGATAAATAACTGAACCTGTTGGATGACTTTTCGGTGTAAAGTTCACTTCAGGATGTGAAAATGAGCGATTTTGATTTTTCCATACTTTGAAAATTCCTTCTAACTTAAATGTTTTATTGTACTTTTTTTTATCCAGATTGCATACATTTATTTATTGAAAGTTTTCAACGTCACGGTAGTTATGCAAATACATATATTTGAATCATATATTGAAAATTTAGGGGGGGGGGGGGGGGTCCACGTTCAATTTGCTACCGTCGGCTATGTATAAAAAAGACCTTCTACTCGTCTAAGTCGTCTTCTCCTTGTTATGTTCCCCAAACGAAGTTGGGGAACATATTGTTTTTACTCTGTTTCTTATTATTATTATTTTTCTTCTTCTTCCTGGGTACTTTTTTGTCCGGGAATGATCTTGTA